CCAAATTTCCCAAATTCCTCAAATTCTCCAAATTCCCCAAATTTTCCGTATTTCCCAAATTCCCAAATTCTCAAATCCCCATATTCCTAAATTCCCAAATCTCAGACTAAAAATAACCTATACAATTCACAGCGCCCCTCCCTCGACTAAGTCGTACGTCCAAGTATCATGGCGCTCATCTCGAAAGAGTTCCTATACGGAAAAAACGTGTAGGTTAGCGGCGAAGCTAAAAACGCGGTCGTAAGCCACTTCCCTTCGAAAACGCGGAGTCGTTCTTCCTCCCACTTGTTCGTCTTCTTCTCGGTTTCGATCCGCCCACGCGGTTGCGTGCAGCCACCCACGCCGGGCAACGTGCACGCGTAACGACCGCGACGACGATTCTCACGGGAAGGCGTGCGTATTCAAATTATATCCGTCCGCTGTCACGAGCCCCGATCCCCTAATTACTCCCTGCTGAACATCGCCGCCGTACATATCGCCGGTGTACGAGCCACGCGGAATAATTCGCCACGCGAGCCACGCACAACTTTATGTACACTCGCGGCCAGCTACTTAACGCCGCTTTGCAATTCAGAAACCCGATCGATATCTTACGAAACTAGGGTACCAATTACGCAGCCTTTGTATCAAAATTGTTCGCTAACATGTACTTCAGCAAATTTGATTTTCGATTAGATCGGTCAAATTCTTTTTACATAAAAATCTGCAAGGTATAAATCTTGTAATCTGTGATAATTTGTAAATTATATAGGTTTATAAATTTTGTAAATTTTAGACAAGAATGTAAGTGCATAAATAATTTAATTTTGTAATTATCATGTATGTTTTTCAGGTATAAATATATGATTTAATTTTTAAGTTAAATATCACTGCAGGTATTTATCACGTGATGTTTGAGATATAAATAGGTCTGAGGAGTATAAATAAATCATGTGAGGTCCAATGAATATTTTGCTGACTTCGGTGTGTCATAAATGCATAAACATGCGTCCATGCATAATGCATGATGATACTAATTTTGTACTGAAATAGTGATATAAATATTTGTTTGTGGTGCAAATGGCGGACGGCTACTTAGGACCTGCAAGGTTTATGGCTCTGCAACCAGTCAGATTCGTGTGTATTTTTATCTGTGGATGTAGCATGGTATGTGATAGTAGTATATTTTGGTAGCATGTATACATGATTTGGTCAATAAATTGTATGTGTCACAATAAAATTTTTGAAACAAAAACATGGACACAAAATACTTAAAGTCGTAATATTGTACTTCGCCAAATATTTAGAAACGAGATTGATGCATAGTATTGAACACTAAATCTGTATGGCTGACATTTAAGACCTAAAACCCTTGGTTAAACTAAAAGCAGTTTAAACGAAAAATGTAAGAACTGATTCCAATGAAATATGTAAGTATACCTCGTTATGAAAATCCTAATTAAATGATCAATACCTGAAATTTATATCTAGCCCTAGATGTGGATGTCCAAAATCTGATCGTAGGATACCACCCTAATTACCGATGTCATCCAGTCACTGTATAACTAAATATTTCTCAAATAACACGTGGTTCCGACACATCGAGAGCTTAATTCACCGTTCGTACCGAAAAATGTAAAAAATTTTGAGTTTTCGCGGTCAGCCGTCCGTTTTAAAACACATCGCGACGTAGCCCGAGGCTGTCCTCCGTGGCTGGCTGCCCATTTTTCACGAGTCTCCCTCTCGCTCCAGCTCCTCCTCTTCCTTTCTCCTCCGTCTTTCTTCCCTTCGGCTCGTTTTTTCCTCTTTTAATTCCATCCGTTGCTTTTTCTCTTTTTAATCTCTCTCCCTTGGTGCACGGGCGAACAGAGAGGCCGGGGGGAAGGCAGTAGAAAGAGGGAGGAAAGATTTCTTCTTGGTCCCGGTACGCTCATTTTCTCCTCTGCCTCTCGTTCCCTCTATCGGTCGAGTGTTCACGCACTCTCTCCTCTGAACCTTTCCTTCCCCTCTGTTCACGGAGCAGCGCCAGCCGACTGGCCACCTCCCCCTCGCGCCATCCCGAACTTCTCGCTCTTTCGATCCGGAGAGTCCATCTCCGTAGCCGGCCGGCAGCAGCAGAAGCCAGCTACGGCAGCTTCGTTCTTCTTCGCCGTCTGCGTCTATATACTCCCTCTGGAGCGCAACGGGGAATCAATAGCACGCACGTGTGTCTGTAGCTATATCGGTGCACACGCGCGTCTTCCTTTTTGATTTTCATCCTCGCCGGTCCTCCTCTACCTGACGTCTCTCTTCGTCCTGCTCCTCCTCCTGTTGTTCGCAGGCTGCAGTTTTTTGCCAGCCATCGAACGAGCCTCGTAGAACGTCCACGAGTAATCTTCTCCTCCTCTCGTTCGTCCTGTTCGTCGGTCCCCGATAAAAAGCTCGATAAAAGAGGGAGAGAACGGTCGCGTCTCCGTTCCCCGAACGATCTCGCGGAGAACAAAGACCAGGTGAAAGTCGATGGAAATGTCGGCTCGGAATGTTTGACCGGCGCTACCGACACGATCGCTCCGTGAGCATCGAATCGCGCGTGGACCAAGCCACATTTCGTTCACCTTGGCGGCTCGACCTTAGACTTGGTCCACGGACGTCTCGCGATATCTGGATATCCTTCTCAAGGTGGGAACACGCGGGGAGAAACGCTTCGGGGATCGAACGAGAGAGTCCGTATCGTGGCAGGCCGAGGGACGAGAGGGAGCCGGAGAATTACGATAATCTACGTACGCAGTGTCCTCCTCCTTCTTCGGCCGGACGGCCAACTCCTGGGGATATCCTTGTCAAGGTAGCGGGACGGACAAGGAGAGGGCTTGGCCGGCTCGCGGGCTACGAAGAAGGAGAACGATAACGTACGTGTGCGTGTACCCGCGTCCTCGTCTCTCGAACGGATCGAAGGGCGAGGTATCCTTGTCAAGGTAGCAGGTCGGACGAGGAGAACAGGTCAGGAGGGACAGAGACGGACCTGGAGACACGATAATGCCGGGTGGCCAAGAGCCCCGGCTGCCTGGCTGCCTCGTCGATGACTCGATGCTCTGTTTGTATCCGTGCAGGTCGCCTAAGAGACTATCGCCTCGTCTGCGTCTCTCGCGAGTACCTGCTAACTCGCTCTCTCCTTGTTCGTCGTTGGCTACCTGCGCGCCGGCTATCCTGTCTCCTGGTCCCCTCTCCTCTCGTCTCCCTTTCGCCGCCGCGTCCTTCCTCCCCCTGTCCCTCGCCCGGACAAG